GAAAATATTGATACACTTCCTTTCCTTTAAAAAAAACTTTTTTTTTTTTACACAGGAGATTTTATGCATATGGTGGTGCGTTTCTCAGTTTATGACAATATATCCTTTTGTTTATACTACCACAGTATATCGACACACAACCCCACCGTGACGCATATTGTATCAGATTCTTGCCAATACATAGCCCTAGTAGCCATAAGCACATTATATAGCCAAAAGTATATGAACATCAGTCCACACACTTTTGTACACTTCTGGACCTTTATCCATGGTTTAGACTTTGTCCCCTTGGTCCCCATTGCCGTCTGGAAAGACCCGTCCCTGGTTTAACATGATCGTGCTCCTGTGTTCCAAGACAGGCCCTTGATGACACGGTCATAAGATTTTCACACTTTTTTAAAAATTATTATAAATGTAACAAACAAGGTGCCACTGTGTTGGCTGGTTGACTTTTGGTTTCTGATATGTTACCATTTCAAGAGATGGATGTATACATTTATTTTAGTTTAAGCAGCACTATTTAGAGGACAGGAAGGAGGAGAAGGTAAGAGCTCGTCTTAGGTAATTAATTACTGCAGCAATGTACACAGTCAATACAGACACCAGTACTAATACAGACAGGTGACAAATGAAAGGCATGTATATGTTGATTAACTCTGTACACATGGCATCTATTGCATGTCTGTCCATCCTAGAAGAGGGATCCCTCCTCTGCTGCTCTTCCTAAGGTTTCTTCCCGTTAAAGTTTTTTTCTTTGGGGGGTGGATCCCTTATCCAACTCAACAGTCTTAGAAGAGAGGGCATCATATGCTTCAAAGATTAAAAATTCCCTTAAGGAAAATGTGTGACTTGTGATACTGGGGTTTAAAAAATTATCTGACTAGGCTACTTTCTGTTGATGGGTTGCTTGACTGATCTCTTTGCATCTCTAAGGATGATGGAGGAAGCTGCCAGCCCGTTAGACGGGATCTGCGGAAGAAGCCCCTGGGCGACATCTTCGCGGGAAAATCTGTCATCGGGCATTCCATGGTCATCATAGCCACTATGGAATAAATTATTAGTGGGAATCACTTGTGTCGCTTCTTTGGGTCAACCGGAAGTCGCTTAGCATAGGCTTTTTCTAACTGTTACAATAACGATTCAACAGTTTGTTAGTATTTAGCACAGGGGTGCCCAAACTTTTCCCCTAGGAGGGCCAAAATGAAAATGCGTTACAGGGCTGAGGGCCGGGTGGGGGGTCATTGAAATGTGTTTATTATAAAAGGTATTTAACATTTCACTCTTTGTACAAAGAACAGGAAGCAAATACAAAGCAAATGAATCTTTATTTAGCCACAAATTATGTCCAAATGCATGTCCATATTAACAGCAAACAGCAGCAGTTTGACACTATTAGTGAGACACATGAAGCTGGTCTTTGGCTTTGACCAGCCTCTCAATGTCAGGCTGAAGCTGACTAACAGAGGGTGAGAACGTCCTGCAGGTGTAGATCAGTCAGAGTGCTTCTGAGCCTGGTTTTGTTAAGGTTCATTACACTGAAAGTCTGTTCACAAATGTAGGTGCTGCCAAACAGAGATAACATCACCTGTGCATGCTTCCTAATGTTTGGGTACCGTTCTGGTGAGACATGTATATAGACGTCCTTCAGTTTCAGTGACATGAATTTATTCCTCAGCTCTGAATCGCACTGAAACTCAATCAGCTCCATCTGATTGTGATCAGGGACACAGTCCACACTTGTGCTGAAGGGTTGGGAAAACAGCTCCATGTCACCTGAATTCTTCCTGAAGTCCTGAAAGCGCATTTCAAACTCCAGGTCTAGGTTGCTGACAAGTGTTGCATATTCAGACAGTTTCTGTTGTACCAGGTTTACCTCTCTCAGACTGGGGAAGTGAGCCAGGTTTCCTGAAAAGAAGTAAAAAGTAATTAATAATTATCAATGCAATAAATATTGCAATTTTCACTCACTAGTAATGTCATATTCCACATATCATACAACTGACAGTTCTGTTCCTCCGCATCACATGATCACATTACCATTAAAATTATGTATTTTGTGCAAGGCATTAACTCACCTGCTGACAGATGTCGACACAGTAGCTGCAGTTTTCTCTGAAAGGCCTTTATGTGGTCAAACATCTCCGTAATAATTAGCTGAGAGGCTGATCTGGGAGAAAGCTCTTGCCTGAGCGGGACACACTAGCTTTGCAGCCGTGGATAAGCATTCTTTAACAAAGTCCCCTGTAGAAAATGAATGTCCACTCCTGGCAATTAGAGCTGAAATCTCATAGCTGGCCTGTGTTGCGCTTTCCTGGGCTGACGAGGGTCGTGTGAGCGTGTTTTGTTGTGAGCGAAGTTTAGATAACTAGTGATGGGTCCGGCAACACCGATGTGTCGAGCTCGTAGAACAAAACCCTGTGTCGGTGCGTGTATTGCTTTAAGAAAGTCACGTCACCGATACAGGAACTGTTTCGAACTGACACTGCCGCGCCAAACTGTGTTTATAAGGAAGCGCATTTGTCAACGGGATGCATCTGCCAAAACAAATCTCTGATCTTTTGCGGTTCATCATCACATTCATCAAGAATTATGAGGCAGCCTCAAGCCAAAAGAAAGGTTTCCGCCATGTGGGACCATTTTGATCTCATATCGGAAAATAAGGTATTGCCAGGTCCCAGGATCCTATGAGACACTGGGATAACCAAAAGGCAATCCATCCAAACCTCTTCCGACTTGCCTTAGAATTTCTCTGCACTCCAGCCTCATCTGTGCCTTGTGAGTGGGTGTTTTCTACAGCTGGAGAAGTTGTATCAAAAAAGCGTAACAGACTCAATTTCAAAACGTTGGAAAAACTTATTTTTTTTAATAAAAATCTGTTAAAAAAAAAAATCCCAGTCCACAAGCATCCTCATTCACAACACGTTCATTTAGATTTTCACGTTATGATACATGTTCACATTATTTATTGACTGTATCTAAAAATATCAAGGAAATTTTAAATTTAAATAAAGATATGAAATAATACAATATAAAATACAATGACTTAAATTATATTATTGTATAACAACTCTCGGCTCTTTGTCTTCCGTGCCTTGCCTTTGAACCTTGAGAATGCTGCATGCCTCGTTTCATAGTGCCGGCGGATATTGTACTCTTTTAGCACAGCGGCAGACTGACCGCAAATTCAGCAGAACGCCTTAGAATTAATATCCGTAAAAAAATATTCTTCCTCCCAGGTTCGTTTAAAATGCCTTTTGTCTGTGTGCCACTGTCTACTGCTCCGTTCTTCGTGTTGTTGTTGTTCTTCTTCTTTTCTTTCTTTCTTCTTCTTCTTCTTCTCCTCCTTGTTTTATTGGCGGGTTGCGAGCTGAGCTGGGAGCTGCTTGACCTGACAACTGGGGTGGCATAATAAATTGTGGGGGGCCAAGAAATGTCCCCGCGGGCCAAAACAAATGTTCCGCGGGCCCCACTTTGGGCACCCCTGATTTAGCGATATGGGGACATTTCGGGATCTGTTGCTGTCATTCTAAGTAACGCAATTTGACTCGTGCGCTCCAGACTCAAAGGGTGTGTGTTTAAGAACTACTATCCATAATCCCGTGCACATAACGGGCAAGATATCGTAACACGTACACTGACGTTTCACCGAGAACAGAGAATAAAGCAGCATCCACATTGTTCCCATGTGCTCTAATATATCTTATTCATTAGCTATGATTACACTTGTGACACGGTTAGCTGTGACATGTCCGACCACGTCGGTTTGAACAAGATAAGGCTGAATGTTAGGTAAGGATAGCACACTTTGATTAGTTCTAAGGCAAAGTTAGTCATGACTAACTTCTGGAGAAAAAAATGGCCTAACGTTAAGCTACCAGGAGGCAAGACGTTCCCTGGCTAACGTTTTGACTGTTAGCCAAGTTACTCCTCAGCCTAGCCGACTAAGTCAAAGTTAGCACTGACAACAGCAGTAAACAACTGTCCCGCGTTGTTGCTGCAGAGGCCATTGCCGTAGCGAGAACCCCCGGCTAGCTAACCACCGTTAACTCTCTCAAATACACAAACTAGCTACCACTCACCCTCTGTCACTTCCAGCACTTTGATCTGCTCCTCCGCGGCGGCGCGCACTTCTTGAACCGGGGACAGGATGGCAGTCAGCGTCTCGATCAAAGCCTCTTTTAATCCCTGCTGGACCGGACCGGCAGTCGAACCGGGCCGAGCACTACCCGCTGCACTCATGCCTGCTGTGTTTTCACCCGCAGCCCGCTACAATATGACCACGACCCGGGGATGAGCAGAGAAACACGGCGGCAATGCATGGAAACGTGGAGGCGGGATTTTTGTGAAAGGAAGCACATTTTGTCATCCGGTTCGGCCCACGTGTTTTTTTGGTTAGTTTTTTTTTTTTTTGCACTCTGTCCCCCTCTTGTGGACCGGGGGGAAATGACACCTTCAACCGCAGTATCACAAGATGACTATGGAAACAAATGCGTCAACATTCAGTACCCTACTAATTTAATTTCACTTGCCTTCAGAATTCAAATAGTTTTGGACATTATTTGCTTCTATACCTAACAATGTTATAATAGGTAAAATGGATTATACTGCCATCCAAGATATGTATGTTTAAGTTTGAGTAAAAGGCTTTCACAAAGTGTGTATATAGAAATTCAGTTGCATTATACCAACATGAACATTAATAAAGGCTAAACCCACATCAAATCACAATTGATTAAATCTTGCAGGCGTGGTGCACTTGCGGTCATTGTTTTGCAAGCACACCTGCTCTGACATCACTAACTTTGCTTGTCACAAGTGTACACCGACAGCCCTGACAGGCTTGTGCCTGCTTATGGGCTGTTTTCCATTGTCTGAACACAAGCTGTCATTAATTTGTGTATATTTGGGTTGTCTTAACATTGTCTGCTAAGCCCTGTTACTTCTCATTAAAGGAGTTCTTAATGTCCATGTTTTGTGAATGAAATGTTCCAACAGTCACATATGGTTGTAATTTTCATGTCCCCATACATTTGGATATGCAGTATACAGTATTTGAAAGTTTAAATTAACACAAAGCTGTTCAGACAGTTTCCAACACTATGATTCAGTCATGATTTATCCTTTAACAGCATCAAAATTGATTTAGCTGTTACTTCTAAAGAATGGATGGTGCAGTACTGTGCAGAATAAGCATTTGCAACAAACCCCTTGTCACCTGCAGCAGGTTGTGAAACTTCTCAGCAATTTCTCATAACAAGGGGGGCTCAAAGTTCCATTACACATGTCTCAATTCTCCATTCTTTTCATTGAATGGGAGTAACATTAAGCCACTGTTAATTGAAACAGCAGTGCAATTATTTGTGAGGCGCGGCTCCCAGTCTGCACACACTGTCGCCCGGCAGAGGGGTGGGTACTGTTACTGAAGAAGGAATTACCAGCCTCACTTCATAATCCTGTTGCTCCAACAAGGAAACAGACGAGGTATCAGCAAGATTTCCTTAAACATGAGATGTGTGTGAGATGCAGCGTTTGTCTCCTCTTAAATCTCACTGGTTAAAGACGATCTTTACTGTGTACTGCCAAAGCATACTACCGAGGATGAACCCTAATCTTTTCAGGTGTTGACTTTCTTTTTCAGATGGCTGTTAACAACCTCAGAACCATGGTTTGGATGTCTTTTGTAAGCTATTACATCAGGTTACTCCTTTTGCTATCAACCACCAACAGGGCACGCACAGGCCTGGCTTTTGTTTCATTGAAAAACTTAACCAAATGTGCAAAAGGACTCATTTGGTCCATGACTTCCCCGAACCTAACAACATATACATCTGTATGTCTGAGTCTTTATAAAAAGAAATATAGGACTGGAAAATTTAAACACAAAGGAAACAAAAACTGAAAAAACTTTGCACCAAATAGGAAGAATATTAAGTTGACTTATTTGTGTGCCCTATATTGGCATTAAGGAGAACACAGGTGAGAAGGTGTTGACATAAAAGTAAAATCAGTGAATGTAATCTCCTCTCTTACATTAACACTGCTGCAGATCTGAAGAATTAAACCACAGAAGAAATCCTGGAGACAAACTGCTCTAAAAAGAGATCTAATAATTAATTATAAGCAATAATATTGCAGTGATGACACATTCCCTGAGGAACCAGCCAGTGTTTCAAGATGTACACTCACCAAGCACTTTATTAGGTACACCAGTACAACTGAATGCAATCCAGTACAACAGCCCTGCCCTAAGGTCACATAGCAACATAATGTAGTTCAGTACAGCACCTTTAACTATGACCTCGAAATTGAATTTTAGAAACTGTGACAATTTCACCAAAAACTGAAACATTATTAGTTTGGTATGACAGATGTCAGGGCAGGGCTGTTGTACAGGCTTACATTCAGCAGGTCTCAATGAGACATCACCTGGTTAAATAAAGGAAACCAACAGTAAAGGTGTACCTAATAAAGTGATCAGGAGGTATCAGGTGTAGAATGTACAACCTTATCTATACTCTGTGGTCCTTTGCAGTACTCATGCTCTGCTTTCTCTTTCAGACCACATGGAGTAACACCTTATGAATGTATAATCCTAAACTATTCGTCTTCAAAGCACGATCATGATGGAGACCATATTTCTATCTCTGACCAAAGTCTTCATGAATAAAATGGTCTATTTAGGGAGCAAGAGAATTATCAGACTCACTGGATGAAAACCAAATCATTACCCAAGCTCTCTAGATTTTTCAATAAAATGCTTTCCATGTACTGTAAAAAGTGAGGTGTGCAGGATATGATTTTGGCAAACGTTTCATGGTAAAAACTGAAATCTTTCTAGACTGACGGGCATCAAGCACAGATTAGTTTATGCTCAGTTGCCAGTTTAGCTGTTAATGCAGTCTAATACAACAAGTCCGTATTAAATCCTTCTTCATGAAGGCAATGTTTAGTTTTGATTCTGGTTCAGAGAGGTGCCAGTTCAACTTTACAGCCCTTTTGGAGGCTGTAGTGTGCTAGTTAAACAGCAGTATCCTTTCTCAAATTGCTGCTGACAATGTATTTTTTATCAAAAGGCTTTTTAAAGCCTCGCTTAATTTGGGTTCTTTGTTTGCATGTACAGTGGGTACAGAAAGTATTCAG